CTTTTGTTCCAGGATGATTTTTGCGGAAGGTTGTTCTAAATACAGCTTCCACTGAGTTGGGCTCAATTTCTGGTAATAACAAAGACATTTCTATATTTTCTTTTGTTCCAGGATGATTTTTGCGGAAGGTTGTTCTAAATACAGCTTCCACTGAGTTGGGCTCAATCTCCAGTAATAACAAAGACATTTCTATAGTATTTTCTTGGCAACACCACAAAGTCTTTTTTTGTTCCAGGATGATTTTTCAATTTTCCAGCCTATTCCTCAGCCCAGGGATTTTATGATGATCTCCCATCCAAGTTCAAACCAGGGCCATCCTTGCTTAACTTCCTTCAAAATCAGCCAACATTCCCCAGGTTCTACCACTTGCTGAGACCTAAAGCAATGAACTCTGTCATTATTGTGGCACATAGAATGATCAAGGTGAAGATCACACCATGTTTTATCTTCCCTTCTTTTTGCCATTTCATATTAGTAATATCCCTGTAAAAGTTGACTCTTGCTTAGATATTTCCTTCCTTCCTTCCTTCCTTCCTTCCTTCCTTCCTTCCTTCCTTCGTTCCTTCCTTCCTTCCTTCCTTCCTTCCAAAGCCAACATGATTTGGGATCACCCCCTTACTGATTCTTCCCTTGGCAGAAGTCCCTCTTCTGATCTCTTCTGTGTGAAAGAACAGCACCAGAAGCACATCAAAGTTATGGTTTTTATTGAGGAATTTGTCTGGAACCTGTATGTACAGCTCACCCCCCCAGCACATCCATCACCCCATGCACTTAACCCTATCTCCCCACCCCCACCCCCACGCACACGCCCACCCACACCAAGGTCTCAAAAGATACTTCTGCCATTCAGCAGCTATAACCAAGCTGAGTGCAGCAGCGGGCAGAGCAGTGGGGCTGAAGGGGCCAAAAGGAGAAACCCCTGGAAGATTCAGTTTGGGTTTTGCTGGTTCCCAGTTTTGCAGATTCTCCCTTGCAAGAGGAAGCTTTGCCTCTGAGTCTCAGTGATATGGTGAAGGGCCTGGGCTAAGTTAAGCCACAAAGAAGTCTCCACACAGGCCCCTGGCATTCTGTCCTTTCTAACAAGTTTGCAGGTATAAGAATAACTAGCTGTGAGAAGAAAGAGAAGATTGGACCTAGCTCAATGCGCACAATGTTACTCAAAACATCCACGACGACAGACACAGAACAAGTGAAGCTCTCGATGATTAAGGGATCATCTTATAATAAGGCCTCTTCTTCCTATGGAGACTTTCACGTCTCCTCCTGCAGGAAGAACCAAGTCAATCTGGTTTTCTTTCTGTTCTCTCTCCTGCCTCCCAGAAGACCTGGGTGTTCACCTCCGGGAGAGCAAACCGAATCCTTTACAAGGTTTCTGTCTATTGCTCCAGACCTTTGGAATTGCCCTGCCATACTTTTAAGAAGAAAGAAGCAGAAGCTGAGAGAGATGTGCCTGTATGAGCAGAAGGGATGAGGGGATCTGTTCCTTTTGGTTCCTCATTTGTGGGAATCTACAGATTGGAGTTTCTTCCTTTTTGCAAATAGGACAAGTTCAGTTTTTTTCTCATTTTCGCAACTACATCAAGCATGAGAATGTATTTTTTTTCAAAGCTTACACTTACACTGCATACATTTGGGTGCACATTTCTCTGAACATGATTGTACACATTTATTGTGAATTCTATAATGCTTCTTGTACATTATCTTCATGAATATATGCATATTTGTACAGATTTTTTCTAATGCAATTTTCAAAAACTGGAGGGCCGCATTGCACAACTCAGAAGCCTGTGAATTCAGGTGATAGCTACAGAGGGGTGCAAAGATGGATTCCAGAAATGCAAAACCAGATTCCCAACTCCTGGGCATGGATGCACAAAAGTGCAGCCCTTTCTCCACCCACAAAATAACCCCTCTTGCATCTCCTTCTCTAGCTGCATTTCACCTGTCAGAGCCCCAGACTCTCACTTGCCAAGGCTGGGAAACAGGGGTGAAAAAATAGGCAGTTGAGAAGAGTTGAATGCCCTTCCTTTCCTCATTTCAAATTATGCACCTTTTTGATTCCCAGGGTCAGCAAAACTATACACCATGTCAAACAAGCCATCAGAAGGCAGCCTTTGTGACAATAAATTAAACCAGGAGAGAAAACACTAGAAGGAAATAAAAAGAAAAACAGTTTTCAAACAACCTTTTTCACTCTGGTTCTCTCCAGTTACAAGGAGGCAATTCCAATAATCTTCTGACAGCATGTGCAAATTGGAAAAATGGAGTTACACCAACTAAACCCCCAAAAAGCAACATCTACCCACCCCCGCCCATCCCTCCATGGATGCTGGAGCAAAATGAATCCTGACTTCATAGGGACGGTGTTGGGGAAAGATTGAACTGCATCTTTTGTATCCAAAGACTACTAGAATTTGATGTCCACACTCAGTTTTTCTCCCATAGCCATGCTCAACTGAAGCTGCTAGGAACCCACGATCAGCAGTTTTCCCAGTCTTGATTTAAAAATATGTACTTTAGGGCAGAAGAAGAAAATCCTGGACTTCATAGTTATATGACATATTTTTAAGCTAGAAGGAACGTATAGGCTGCCTTCGTTTCGCAGCTGCTTCGTTTAATGATCTTGTTTCGCAACTGCCTCATTTAGCCACCTTTCACAGTCACAACAGTGATGAAAAAGTCACTTGGTGACCGATCCTTGCACTGATGACCTTTACAGGTCTGTAAAGCAAAGGAAAGCTGAAGGAAGGTCATAAAATAGTGATGTTTCACTTAGCGACCGCTTTGCTTTACAACTGAGTGGCCAGTCCCAACTGGGGCCGTTAAAGGAGGATTCCCTGTAATTGCACACTGAAATTAGGGAATGCAGCTTTTGAAAAAGCTTGATGAAATATATATTCCAACTCCCTTTCCTATGCAGCAGGATTCGGTGCCTATTTTAAAATTAGATTTTTAAAACAGTGCCCGAGGTGTCCTTTCTTTTGTCACTAAAATCCTGACATGGAAGTTGTGTTAGTCAAAATTCTCCCAGCAAGGCTGCTAGATCTTAATTTATCCATCCGACAGTATGTTGCAAGTATATATTAGCTACTTCATGTCTTTCCCCTAACCTAGGAGTTGTAGGTTATTTTTTATTTCTATATAGCTGTGCATTACAAAGAACTTTGACAAAACTGCAAACAATTGGAGAAGCCATTTGGGCTCCTCTGCGAAAAGAGCAAGAGAATTAAACTAAGTAAAGTGCCCTGATTCTGCGCTATTCTTCATCTTCATCTATCGATTCCAGGTTCAGCACGAATGTCCGCAAGGGGGGGTCAAAGAAAGTCACAAAGGTGGTTGCCAACATGCAATTAAAGTGCTGCCCCCTTTTAATACGAGTTACATGCATAGTGTCCATAAAAAGGGGTGGGCTTCACTCATGACCACCATGTTGACTTTTTGGAGTCTTTGCCCCCTCCCCAACTCCCGTGATTGAGGGTGGATAAAACAGCAATTCCTTAGGACGAGGATGAGCCCTTTGTTTATCTCCAGAGGCCCTCTTCTTCATGATTGACATCATTATTTAATCATTTATTTACTTAAATCTATTGGCTGCCCAAGTCCAGGGGACTCTGGAGATCCTTGAAGAGCTGTAATTATGGGCAAAAGACATTTGCAGGTCTTCCATCTGTTCTCCCCTTCACATATTATCCCTGGAAAGAAAAATGATGGGAGAAGAAGCAGGGAAAGGAGCTTACAAGTGAAGGGCAGCATTATCTAGACCAGTGTCTCTCAACTTTGGCAACTTTAAGAGGTGTGGACTTCAACTGCCAGAAT